TCTTCCTCCCCCTCCCCTCCCCTGGGTTATGACTGGCTGGTTATGACTCACTAAATTAATTTCATGAAGCACAGATGGGTCAGCATTGAAAAAATGCTGAGCCAGTTTGGGTTCTTTTATGTAAGGGAGCATATTTAGTTTACTTTGGTATTGCTACTGGCAAGCACAGTGTCTGGCACAATGTAGGTATTTGGTCAATACTTGCCATAGGACTGGGTTTCCTTGAGGACAGGAGTCTTATCTTAGGTACCTTGTATGTACCCCATATTTAGCATAATTCTTCCCACAATATTTGGAGAACAAATGGCTAAAATTCTGGCCTACTGCTGGGCTTTTAGAGATCAAACATTTGGGTCAATCAGTATGTGACAAGCTCCTACTATGTGGTAATCCATAAATGCCAGATTCCTGGCTCCTTCCCTTAATTATCTTAAAAACAGTATGGGCTTGCTAAGGGGGATCAATGAATACATGTTGCCCAACTGGGAAATTTAAAAAATGAGTAAGACATATGGAGGCCATAACAGCATCTTTATGAATAATAAAGACTAAGTCAGAGAACACATAATAATGTGAGAGCCAGTCAGGCCTGTTAATTACACCCTCATCGGAGGCATTGCTGAAGTCGGGTGGCCCTCCCTATGCTGAAAGCCTGCGCAGGTGGGGCCTGAGGCAGCTCATGCCCCAGGAGAATGTGGGAGGAAACTGCTCAGCACACCCAGTTTGTTTTTCCTAAATGTACTAATTAGGTAAGTCACTCCTCCCCTGACCAGTGACAGAGGGATTAAAAGGGCAAAGAGAGACCAGACATATTATTATCAATTGAGCTTCCTCCCTTATGGAAGGAAATAGCAGAGGAGTAAATGTTTTCTTTAAAGAATCATATTTAGGAAACTATGTATTATATATATATATACACACACACACACACACACACATATATATGTATATGTATATATGTTACTAAATAATAATATAAAACAACCCAAGGCATACCACAAGATGGATACCTAATTAATTTTTAAATATAGTTGGCACTAGTGTTTCTCAAGTCTGACTGTTCATCAAAACCTGGAGGGCATTACATAATAACAGATCCTTTATTCCCTCCTCCCCACCTTCAGTATGCCCAGCATGAAACCTGGGACCTGTTTTGAAAGCTACCTGGATAATCCCGGTGTACAGGTAAAGCTGAGAACCATGGCCTTGGATGAGCTAGACAGACAAGGGAATAGGATTTGAGAGGTTTTCTTGAGGAAGATGGACAGACATTGCAGGGTAAGGGTTGAGGGAGTCAGAAAGGAAGAGGCAGAACACTTTATTCAGGGGTGAGAACAGCAAGCAGAAGGACTCCAGATAAATTGTAGCTCCAGTTACCTCAAACCTTGTTCTTGAAAACTCTTCCAGAATTTATCTTTAGAAAAACGATCTATGCAAATATAGCAAATGATGTCTTACAGCAACATGGTTTAGTGGAAAAGGTCTTGGACTTTTGAGAGTTAGGAGACTTTTTTTCCTGGATGTGTGAATTTGTCCCAGTCACAACGTCTTCACCCAGATATTTAAGACTCGTTTGTAAAGATAGGAGTTCCTCAAGCATCCTGAGTAGATGGTCGCAGTCTTCCCCATTTCAGGAAATGGCACTGCCCTTCACCTAGACGCTCCGGCTAAAAACCTGATAGTCATTTTTTATTTCTTTTTCTCACTAGTCCCCGTGTCTAATCCATAAGCCAATCCTGATCATTTTCCTTTCAAAACATAGCCCTAATTTGTCCACTTTTCACTTTATTGATTACTACCCCGATCCAAGACACCTTTTACTTGGATTGTTGGAGAGTACGGCCTGAGAACTTGTTCGAAATACAAGTTCTCAGATGCTGCTGATTCTGTTGTATCCAGAGACAGTTCTTTGGGAACCACTGCTTTAGAGCGATGGTTCTCAACCTTGGAGTCACAGGAGAATCACATGGTTAAAACCTACCAAGCTTGCGCCTGACCTCCACCCGTTCTGATTTATTTGGTATGGGGATGAGGTGTGGCCATCTGTAAATTTTAAATCTCTGTGGGTGACTCCGAATGCTTGTCCAGGGTTGAGAAACAATACCAAGGCTCAGAGGGATGGTGGAGTTTGCTCCTGCTGGCTTTTGCACAAGCTGCTCCCATCACCTGGTATACCCTTCCTCTTAGGTGGTTCCATGGATGAATCCTTCCTGTCATTTAGGTATCAGATTAGATGTCACTTTGTCAGGCAGGCCTTCCTTAATCCTCTAATCTAAAATAACACCCCTATCTTCATCACACTGTTTTGCTTGTTTCCAAGACAGGAATTAGCAGTTCCTGAGATTTCCCTATTTACCCTACTTGTCTGTGTCTTCCGACCATTAGCATCTTGAGCATAAACACCTCTGCTTGTCTTGTTGACTGCTGACTGCTGTATCCCCAGCACTTACAACAGTGCTTGGCATCTATTAGGTATTCGACGTATGTGACGGATAGGGAAATAAAAGCCTTTAAATTCTTCCAGTTCCACTTTTTTCAACTCTTCAGCTAGATTTTAATGAAATGTATTTTATTTATGCAATAGAACTGAACCATCTATGAAAAAAGCATCAAGTGATCTTTTAATAAGTACATCTTAGTTGCACGGGGCTCATTCTGTCCTCTTAGGAGACCTGTATTAAATCTTCTGCAGCCAGTGTCCCTTTACATTTTCCTATGTAGTATGTATTTGTTCATAATACTGTTGTGTCAGGAATACAGCTCACAGAATAAGGCAGCTGGGTATGGTCGGGATATATTTATTAAGTCAAGGGACTGTTGCATAGATTCTGTTTGCTTGTTTTTGGAGAGAGGTCAGGATAAGGGAATTTGTAGAATGGAGAGGTATTGCAGGGAGCAAGGGTCATAGAAAACGTGAAGCCTGTACCTGGTTCTGTCTAAAAGTGGGCTGCACATTTACTCTCTCCTTTTGGGGGCACCTCTTTAACGAAGGAACGCAATCTGGCGGAATTGCGGGCTTTCCATTTCAGGTAGAGAGAGAGTACTTGCGATTATTAGTGTCCTGTTTCACAAGGGTTTGTTCAAGCCAGTGCAGCAAAATCTTCAGTTGTGGGTCATCTGTCGCTTGGTCTCAAGGGAGCAGCATGTATTAAACTGACAACCGAGGTGAACTCAGGGCAAAGCAGATGTCCTTAAGGCCACCGCGGACCATTTCTGAAATACGTTACCTTTGCAAACACACAACATCTGCTACAGGGAGAAAAGGGAGGTTCCGTGCCTCCGGCCAGTTTCTCTGGCAGAAATGTGGGTACTTCCTCAAATGTCCCAAGCGTACAACCTTCGCCCCCAGCTATAGAACTAGGTTCACAGGCAAACAATGTTTCAGGCAGCTGCCACCCCTTTCTCTCCCCTCCGTGCTTAGTCAATCATGGTTTCCAACAAAACGGCTTTGTACGCGGAGCAATGGTTGAGCTCAGCCTGGCGCTTTGGCACAGCCAGCCGCGCGGGTTCTGGGAACACAACACCCGCAGTCGGCGGACAGAGGTTGTGGTTAGAGAAATCCAAAGGCAGAGGGGGAGAGGGAGAAACAAGCAAAGCTGCCGAGTCGGTGGTGCATTCTGGGACTTGTAGTCCCTGTGCAGCAGCCTTCCCCAGCGTCCACGGTGTTCTGGACTCCATCTCCCACCAGCCCCCGCGCCGCGGAGGAGGAGAGGGGTGGGGACTCTAGGAGATGAGCTCCCGCAGGGGGAGGGCGCCTGGGGCTGAGAAGCAGCCGTAGCGGCTGCCAGGAGACTTTATCTGCGGTTCCTTAGGGCCGAGGGAACCCTCGGGAGGGCACGACGAGGGCCGCGTGATCGCCGCGCGTCCCGGTGCCTGCCCTCTCTCCTGTCCACAGGCGCGTGGTGTCCGCCATGGAAGCGCATCCGGTCGCCGCCGGGGTCTCCCGGCGCCGCGTCCCGGGCTCCCGAGAGCGATGAGGGGGTAGGGGCGCCCGGCACGCCTCTGCCCGCGCCCCGCCCGCGTGGGCGTGAAGA